TGTTCCCAAAACATCAGAGGAGGGTGGGCAGGGCAGAGGTTGCTGAGCAGCATTTGGGGTCTGCCTGGGACACAGGGGGTGCTCAGGGTTATGGCCATGAGTGTTTCTTATGGAGCCACAACCACACAAGCTGCCATAGTTGAGGTTTGGAAGCATTACTTGACTATTTTCAAAGCTGACATCGTGTATCATCTGAAGGGAGAGGCAATTCATCTGGGAATGTCTGTGTAGTAGCTGTTTCTGCCAAGGTAAGTGGCGCATGGCTCAGAGGTGTCATTGATGCATGAGCTGTTCTCTCTGCACCCAGAGCAGTCAGAACAAAACAGGCCAAAACCCCAACCCAGCGGGTCAGGGACCAGAGGAACCCACCTCATCCAGGCACAGCATTTCAGATGACAACTATATGCCAAAGAAGGAAGGGGGATCTCTAGACGTTGGCTCATGGGCCCTTTCCCATCTGCCCCTCCCCAGCCCTGGACGAGTCACAGACGAGCAGATGGAGCTTTCCAGCAATCCAAAGAATTAATTTCTCATGCTACATCGAACTAGGTAGATGTGGTATTGCCATGGCAACTTGAAAGAGAACCCAACTGGAATCCTGGCAGTCCTTTAAACAAAATAATAATACACTTTTACTCACCTGTTTGTTCTCCCTCACCATCCACCCCAACCTTTGGTTCATGCTTTTGCCTCTCGATGAGAGGGAAATTTCCCCCTCTGGCAGTGAGCAGGGCCAGCAGCCAGGGGAGGGGGAGCAAGAAGGAGCTCATCCTTCCCTGGGGAGGCAGGTGGTGCTGGTTTGTGGAGAACACCAGTCTGAGCCACAGCTCTAGAGAAGGGGTTTGGGAGAGTCCTGTCCTCTGAACAGCTTTTGGAAGGTAGGTGGACACCATCCTGCATCTCCTTGTGTTTCACAGGCCTTTGTGAGCTCTCACTGTCCACAACGCTGTCTTGCCTTTCAGATGTGCAGAAGAAGAAAAAACATGCCATTAGCGACATAAAAATATTCAAAGACTGGCTGCTGCTGCACCACCCAGACGAGACGCGCGAGGTCCACGTGCTGCCGCCCGCGGACCTCGACCACTACCTGGTCTCCTTCTTCAACTCCACCAAGAAGCAGGATGGCACAGACTTTTCTGCCAGTTCCTTCCTCTTCTTTCAGCAAAGCATCAAGCAGTACCTGAAGGAGCACAACTACCAGTACAACGTGGTGAGTGGGCTGGAGTTCAAGGCCTCACAGGAAGCCTTGAAACAGAAGCATCAGTACCTGTTCCAAAAGGAGAGGGAGGAAGCATGGAGTATTATGGAGAACCTGACAGATGAAGATGTAAGCAACCTTCTTAAGGAGAAAATTTTAAGCAAGACACACCCTCAGGGCTTTCTGCACCTGATGTTCACCAACATCATTAGGGCTTTTGGGGCAAGCACCCACAGCCAGAGCCAGCACCTGTACTGGGGGCAGCTGGTGCTGAGGAAGAGCAAGGTGGAGTACTTGGAGTGGAAGGATGATCTGAGCCCAGCGGGAGACAAAGTGGGGCAGGACCAACAGCTCTTTGCCAAGCCTGATGATCCAGAGAAGTGTCCAGTCGCCAGTTACAAGGAGTATGCCGGGAGGAGGCCACCAGACATGCTGAATGCCACGGATCCCCTTTACCTGACTCCCAAGTCGCTGTACTCCATGTGGGACCAGGTGTGGTACTGCAGGAAGTCACTGTCAAGAGGCAAAATGGAAAAGATGTTGAAAGTTATTGCCCAGCAAGTCAGAGGATCCTTAAGAAAGCCCAAGAACTAGACATGTCCCTTTGGCCTTGCCCCTTAAATCACCCCAAGGCTGCTCTGAAACAGAATCCTCTTGTGATACTTGGTGTAGATTGAGAGCAAACATCTTTCTCCTGTGCTTCAACTGAAGGCACCTGCAGTGCCTCAGCTTTCAGGTTCAGAAAAATTCCTCTGTTGTTTCTGGGTTTGGAATCGATAATTCAGCGAGTTAGTGAGAATCTTCAGTTTCACATTTGCCAAACAAGTTAACGTTCTAAAGTCAATGCCGTGAGGAACCACCAGTGCTGACATGGAGGGGGCTGAGGGGTAGCACAGCCCACCCAGGAGCACCAGCTGCACTCGTGTTTTGGGGCTGGCACCCCACACAGCTCAGCCCAGGGCACAGACCTGCGGGGCAGGACGAGCCACACGAGGACAGCGATGACGTTCCAGCTGCCCATCCCACCTCGTGGGAGCACATCCAACAAGGTTCAGCTCACTTCTCTTAGTGAAAGCTTCATAGATTGAAGACGTTGTGGCTGTTTTAAAATGTTACTTAAAGCGTCTGACAGCGCTGAAAGACTTTATGGTAAGTGGTTTCCCTGGAGCTCCACAAAAGCACCAGGACATGAGCTCAGCTCTGCTGCCTGAGCTCTGCTCAGCAGCTCTTACAGCCCAGTCCGATTGTTTCTTGTGTTGTTGACAGAACCAAATAAAATCAGCTTTACCTCAGCGCTGTCTGTGTGTTCTCCAGGACAGTGGTTTCCCAGTACCGCGCGATGCAGCTCCACAAACGCCGCGGGAGGAGCACACAGCAGGGTCTCTGCTGCTGTCCGCACCGCGGGCGCTGCCCAGGAGCCCTCTAGCGGGGACAGCGCCCCGAACCG